AGACACCTCCATTTTTCCGATGAGCCCTCTATCTTCATTATATACCAAAAAATACATAATCGAAAAAGACAAGGAAGACTGGAATGGTAATTTTTGGCTTACTAATCGCCGTCAGCTAGTCATACGCAACCCCAGGAGTAGCCGCCCCGTGGCCCGAAACTGCGACCTTATTAGTTAGAAGTCCAAAGCTTTACTTGGTGAGCGTCCATCTACCGGTGTCAATATCTCCCGATCGTAACCAGTAAGGCAACGAACCCGTGGTGCAGTGGTTAGAGCATTGGACACTTAACTAACCAGGTCGCGGGCTCGGGCCAAGGGGTGGCTACTCCTGGATTTGGGTATGGCTGGCTGATGACGGCTGATGATACAGAAATGATCGTTCCAGCCTCCCTAGTCGTTGACCCTACTGTATTTCTGCCTGTGACATGCTAGCCGTTGAGTGGCTTCTGACTGGTTTCTAGAGCAAGTTCCGTACCGATCGGTGAGCGCCCATTTGTCAGTATATATACATATATATATCGCGTTAATTAACTCCCAAAGAAGACGAAGAGGGGTGCAATTTCGTGGACCTAATTGTGTTTGAACTGATGTTTCAGATACAGTAATCAAAACACTCTGAGCACGGAAGCGAGGAGGTTTTCGCAGCGGACTTGCCCCTCTGCTTCGTCTTTTAGGGAGATGATTAACGCGATAAGATTTATGGATCTCAAATTTCTACGCATATATATAGTATAATGACATTGTAACTTACCATACTAACAGCCCACATACTAGCTAAAAGACCCAGACACATGTTTCGCGTCTATTCTACCGCTGGTTGACACAGCTGCGGGAGGTACGGCTCGTCGGTGGGTCCCCCAGCTCTCCTTATTTGCTTTCTGGTTGATATGCTGGATCTTAGGATTCAGCTTTTTAAAGTCTTTAGTATTATAACAGATCGGTGTACGCCTATCTGCCACTGTATATCCCCGATCAAATAGCGGCAAGACAACGAGCTCGTAGCGCAACGGTTATGGTGCTTGATTCTAATCAGAGAGGTCATGATTTTGAGGCTCGAGTGGGACACCACTTGGGTCTGGGTATGACTAGCTGATGACCGTTAATAAGCCAGAAATGGCCGTCATAGTCTCTCTTGTCTTTTTCGGTAATGTCCTTTTGCCAGTAGATCATACTTAATATATTGGTGGCAATCGTACACCAATCTGTTTCAGGTCGTACCCATCCTGTTTGATGCCTTTGCGAG